GAAGATCTCCTCACCAGGGGCAGCCTGGGGACCGAGCTTGACCTCCTCCTCAACCTTCTTTTCAACCTTCTTCTTACCCTACGCACACGAACCAACGACATGGTAAGAGAGTGTCCCTCCATCTCCATTCAATTTGCTCAATCGTACCATGATTACGATGCGGTGCTGGCGGGGAGGATGGACGACAGCGATAGAGGAGAGAGAAAAAGAAAGAAGTCGACAACGATCCCACTTCAAATCCGGCCACCACCGTCGGCACAAATTATTGCCATAACTGACATTCCAAAAGAAGATAAAGAATTTGGCTGGTTCTTGTTTTTCATCTTCTGTTGTTCGTGGGCAAAGAGCAAAACGTGGAGGTTGACGTTTGAAGGTTTATTGTTGGAGGTGATGTATCAACAGTTCTGACTCTTACAAAAAGAGAGGGAGAAGAAGGCCAGATTGTGAAGTGAGTTGGAGAGAGGAAAGGAGTGAGACGGCCCCACGGCGCGCTTTAGTCCATGCGGCACTTGATCTCTTTGGTGATCACCTCATCGGGCGTCCTGCGCAGCAAAACGCAAGCATGACCGGTGAGCACCAACACTGAGCGCGACAACAACGACGACGACAACAAGCTCGAGATCAAGAGGCGAAGTGAACATTGTGCGTACATAATGTAGACAACAGCACCCCAACCGCTGAACGCATCTCTGTTGACGGCCGAAAGCAAAACCTGAGAGATGGTCTCGAACAGATCATCGGGTTCCTATCGAGGCGCGCGAAGCGGTGTGAGTGTTTGGTGTGCGTCATGCGCTCATCGGGCCGATGGGAGGAGACAGGGGCGTACAAGGTCGGGCTTCCACAGAGACTCGGTCATGCCGTAGAGAGCCTCGGAGCACGTGCCGGCCACGACAGAGTCCTTGGCCAAGAGGGGAGCGCCGATGAGATCCATGGCAGCGATGAAGGGCTTGTTGTCGGGACCCGAGAGGCCGCAGATCACAGGCTCCACGAAGTAGGGACCGAATCTTTCATGCCAAGGCCACGCGAGTGTCAGCAAGACAAGACAAAGAAGGGACGACGCCAGCAAAGAGCGAAGAAAGGAGGAGGAAGCAGATGGCGCTACCGCTTCTCGTAGAGCATGGTCGAGACAAGGTTGGCGAAGGTCTCGGGATCCATCTCTCGGTTCTCGCGCAGCTTGTACAAGTTGTGGCGGAATTGGAAGCGATTGAACCTTCACAGTTGTGTGCAAAGGCGATGTGAGCCGTTGAAAGAGAAGAGAGTGGATGAAGATGGAGCGTACAGAGTCTGAGCATCCGACACCAGGCCAGAAAGGCCGACGAAGGTCTTTGAGTTGAGCTGCTTCACTTTGGGCATGTTGAAGGCCAGCGTCTGGTGCTGAATGCCAAACCGCTTATCGCTGCACAATTGAAAAGCAAACAGATGATCTTAGCGCCTGGAGCGCAATTTGGGGGGGGGGGATGAGAAGGTACCAGGCGATGGCAACGCAGTTCTTGCCAGTCATGGCGACGATGGCACCACCATTGTACGAGAGGATAGACTAAAAAGATGAAATAAATGATCAGAAAATTTGCGCTACATCATAGTGCGAGGCAGCACTGATCCAGCGAGATGAAAGAACCCGCGCCTTACCATGTTTGAAGTTGTAGGGAAACGGCGATTCGATTCACTACACTACCAGTCGAGAATGCTGATTGATTGCCTTGGCAGCCGCCCACCACACCAAACCGTGTCTTTGCAGCCAGCCAAAGCAGACGTGTTGGAATGTCGACAGCGTCCACAAGGCTGTCGACAAACGCCCAGCGAAGAACGACTTGGCAAGTGCGGCGCAGAAACGAAGGCAAAACGAAGGGCCACAGATCTGCACAATCAACTTTCTGATCTGCAGCGACACCGCCACTAGATTAGACTGAATTAAACAGATAGAAAATGGCTACGCTCTCGATCACTGAGGAAGAGGCCTCGATGCCCAAGAACCCTGACCTCGAGCTGGCCCAAAAGAGATTCCTTCTCACGCTCAACGATGAAATCGTGCCCCCCGAGGAGAAGCAGACCATCAAGGACGAGCTCTTTGAGGCTGTCAAGAAAGACAGTACGTGCTCCATCTTGTTGTGCCCTCCTCCACGTGCAGCAGATCGTGCTAATTGTGTCCACACGACATTCTGCACTCGATCTATCGTCAATCAGACATGCTGCCATTCTACCAAGCTCTGTGCGAACAGTTCAAATGGAAGGTCGACACCGCGCTGGTTGAGACCATGAAGGCCGAGATTGAGAAGAAGGTGAAGGAATTGAACGACACGATCGCTGATGCCGAAGAGAATCTGGGCGAGAGCGAGGTGCGAGAGGGGTTCCTCGCGAGGGCCGACTTCTACTGCAGAATCGGCGACAAGGAGAAGGCCATCCAGGCGTTCAGGGAGACCACAGAGAAGACCGTGGGTCTTGGCCAGAAGCTGGACATCCTCTTCACTCTCATCAGGATGGGCTTCTTCTGGAACGACAACGATCTCGTCACCAGAAACATTGAGAAGGCCAAGAGGTACGCTGTTCCTCCTGCACACACCGCTCTCGCATCGCCAGCCACCTGCTACCCATGGCATCACGCGTGTTGTTTCTTCTTGTGCCTCACCGCCATGTCGTGCCGCACACAGCATGATCGAGCAGGGTGGTGACTGGGACAGGAGGAACAGGCTCAAGGTCTACGAGGCTCTCTACAACGCGTCCATCCGCAAATTCTCGGAGGCGGCCACCCTCTTCCTCGAGGGCCTCGCCACCTTCACTTCCTACGAACTCTGCACATACAACCACTTCATCTTTTACGCCATCCTCATGTCCGCCGTGTCCATCGACCGCGTCAACCTCAAGAAGAAGGTCACCGACGCGCCCGAGGTGCTGGCCGTCATCCGCGACCCCGAGCTCAGCAGGGTGGGCGACCTCATCAACTCCATCTACAACAGCGAGTACGCCACTTTCTTCCAGAGCTTGGGTACGCACGAGACTTCTCCACCACCTTCTGTTGAGCTGGTTGTGTGCTGATCGCACGCCTTTTCTTGCTTGGCCGCTGTGTGTCATCTCAGCTGAGGTCACCGACCGAGTCAAGCGGGATCGCTACCTGGCCGTCCACGTGCGATACTACTGCAGAGAGATGAGGATCAAGGCCTACGCCCAGTTGCTCGACTCCTACCGCAGCGTGCGCCTCGACTCCATGGCCAAGGCCTTTGGCGTCACTGAGGAGTTCCTCGACAGGTGCGACTATCTCGCCGCGCGTGTTGCGTGCGTGCGTGTGCGAGTCGCGCGCGTGTCTTGTCTGTACTAAGCGCCTTTTGCCCCCTCTATCGTGTTCGCGTTCTACTTGTAGGGAGCTGTCGCGGTTCATCACCACTGGCCGCCTGCACTGCAAGATCGACAAGGTGGACGGCATCGTCGAGACCACGCGTCCCGACTCGAAGAACGCGCAGTACCAGGAGATGCTCAAGTGCGGCGACGCCCTTCTCAACCGCGTCTCCAAGCTCTCCAGGATCATCAACCTGTAAACGTCTTCTTCGCGACCCCTCAATCAACCTCTCGATAAAGCTCCTTGCTCAACGCGCTCTCTCGCAACCCATTACACACCGCACGCGTCTCTGCGCACGACACGACGCGACACACCGCACACACTGGCAGGACATGATTAGCTTTACTGTAGTGTCGCCCACGATGGTCGTCTCTCTTCTTCCTCAGTTGGTGAAGATGTGCTTGTTGACGGCCCGCCGCAGCACCTCGATCGCCTCCTTCTTGTCCTGCGCCTTGAACACGCCCGAACCAGAGACGATCACATTGGCACCCGCCTCCGCAGCGGTGTCGATCGTCTTCTCGTTGAGGCCGCCGTCGACTTCAATGTCGAGCGTCGGGTACTGCGCCCGGAGCTCGCGAACCTGCCACCGCCACACCACCGCCACTCGTTTACATGCGTGTCGTGTGCTGTCGTGTGCTGCGTGTGTCGTGTGTCGTGTGTCGTGTGTCGTGTGTCGTGGTGGGCACCTTGGACATCTGGTCGGCCATGAACTCCTGACCGCCGAAGCCGGGCTCCACGGTCATCACCAGCACCTGCCGGGCCACGTCGGTGATGATGATGGAGAAGAAGATGGTGACGATGAGTCATTGACGTGTCAACAAACAACAGGGAGGTCGAAAGAAAGAGAAAGAGAGAGAGAGAGAGAGAGGCCTCGAACCATGTCGACGTCCTTGACGTAGGGGAGGATGGTCTCGAGCTTGGTGCTGGGCTTGAGGGCGATGCCCACCCGCATGCCCGTCGACTTCACCTTCTTGATGAACTCGGCCGGGTCCTCTGCAACGACAATGTTACGTTACACGTTGGCGTTCGGCCAAGTGTGCAACCCGTGGTTACAGACAATGAAGACGATGATGACGGTGATGAAGATGATGAAGAAGACGAGGGCAGAGCATGGGCGTACCGACGGTCTCGATGTGGAAGGTGATGGAGCTCGCACCGGCCTTGTGGAAGTCGTCCACCCACTTCTCGGGCTGGGACACCATCAAATGGCAGTCCATGAACCTGAACCGCACACGACACACGACACACGACACACGACACACGACACACGACACACGACACGCTCAGCCTCTGTTTGCACTGTTCGGGGGGCAGTGGTGTGGCGTCGTACATGTCGGTGTGCTTGCGGAGGGACTGGATGACGGGCGGGCCGATGGTTAGGTTCGGCACAAAATGTCTGCACGACACACAAAGACATTGTTTTGTTTTGATTAAAAAAAGATTAATAATAATAATAATAAATCAATAATCTGAATGGGAAAGACGCAGATCCAGGAGTTCGTGAATGATGGAAGGAGTGCGCACCCATCCATGACATCCATGTGGAGCCAGTCCGCACCGGCGTCCTTCATGGCCTGGGCCTCCTCCGCGAGCCGAGCGAAATCACCCGAGAGGAGCGACGGAGCGATGAGGGCCTTCAACGACATCTTCTTCATTTTGTCCTGACTTTGGCGTCGTGAGTTGTGCCGAGCAAGTGGCACTTGCAAGTGCCGGCTCTTCTCTCTTCATCACGACCCCATCTCCAAACGTGACGGAAGAATGGATGGACGTACCTCTGCTGGTGCTGATCAAAAAATAAAATAAAATAAAAGATTCTTAATAGTCGCTTTTCATTTGTCTGAGCAGAAGAAGAAGAAGGAGGCCAGAACACTTTGTCCATAGAGAACAGCAAATGGTATCGTACACGAAGGAGGTGATGGTGGTGTGGTGTGACGGTGCTCCACACTACGACTACGAGTACTGGTAGTCCTGTGCTGAGTAGAAGCTGGGCCGGACGGAGGTGACGGCCGCCTTGGGGTCGAAGAGGGTCTGGTAGGCCGAGCCCGGACAGGGTCGCTGCAGGTGGAGCTTCTTCTTGTGCGCCTTCAACACGTCTCGCAGCGATCCATACCTACACCCCACGCGTTCGTCAATCGCACGTACACGACGCACACGCACACGCACACGCACACACACGCACACACGCACACACACACACACACGCACACACGCACACACACACACATGACACACGACATACTCGTTGGCGCCGAGGCAGAAGGCGAGGCCGGCCTTGTGGGAGATGCGGAAGTGGGCGAGGGCGTCCTTCTTGTTCTTGCCGGTGATGGTGAAGGAGCCGGGCGTGGACGAGAAGCGGACCAGGTAGGTCCCGTGCTTGTGCTTGGCCAGCAGCAGCTCGGCCTCGGCCTCCGTCACGTCGCCGTGGAACCACTCCTCCCGCAGCGTGCCCTGCTCGTCGGCACGATCAAGTACCATCAGATTGCGATCACAGTGCACACGAAAAAACGAAGAACGAAAGAGAACGAAGATGATGAAGAAGAAAAAGACGAAGAGTAAACGCACTTCGATCTCGTCGAGGAACTGGGCGGGGGTTTCGAGAGGCCCGAAGCATTCGAGCGCGCGCGCGAATTGTTCGATGCCCACCATGTCCCGGTCCTTGGCCACCAGCACCCGCACGAGCTCCAAACGATTGGCGTCCGCGCCCTGCCGATACCAAGCCACCAGGATACGATCAAAAAAGAGCGAAGAAGAACGAAGAACGAAAAAATGAGAGAGCGCACAAAAATGGAGTGAGTGAAGGACAGAAGAACGTTGCGTGCCTTAATGTTGAAGAAGTCTGTGAACGCCTGTTGGAATTCGTTCCATGTGACGGTCTCCCGCGTGAGGAAGTACTGCGCCCACAGCGCGCAGGCCCGCTTGTCCCGCAGCGTCGCCTCGAGCGAGACCTTGTAGAACACGTTGGAGGAAAGCATGTCGACAAAGGCTGGCCGCTTGGAGGGCACCGTGTCCCAGCACGATCGGATCAACTTTGCCAATCGCACTGTGCTCGCGTGGACGATTGCATGTGTCGTGTGTTGTGTGTGTGTGTGTTGTGTGTTGTGTGTTGTGTGTTGTGTGTTTGTGCGTTAGGGACGTTCCTAGAGGGGAAGCCGGCGTTGCTGCGGGTGTACCGGGACATGTGGCCGGGATCTTGGGGCGTTCGTTCTTCTTCACCACGGCGTCGATGAGCGACTGCAGGGACGAGAATTCGTTCTTGAACGGCTCTTCGCCCGTGGCCAACTCGTACAGCACCATGCCGAACGAGTAAATATCTGTCACAACCAAACGTTTGCATTCACGCCCATTCGTTAAGCAATCCAACCGGCTGTGTGTGTGTGTGTGTGTCATGCGCGAGTGTGTTACCTGTCTTTTCATCGTATTCGAGCCCGAGGAGCATTTCGGGGCTCATGTAGATGGGCGACCCGTGCAAGCCCCTGTGCGTGCCCGAGGCGTTGATCTTGGCCAGCCCAAAGTCGGCCACCTTCACCTCCCAGTCGTCGTTCACTGCAAGTGCAAGTGCAGTGCAAGCCCGGCGTCAGCACAGAGAACACAGCCCGGCAAGCCGGCTCTGATGGACCACCACTGGGCAATCGTCGTGGCAGTGCAAGTAGCGCGCGCGCGTACCGAGCAGGTTGGAGCACTTGAGGTCGAGGTGGAGAATGGGCGGCGAGGCGTTGTGGAGCCAGTTCATGCCCAGGGCGGCGTCTCGCGCAAACGACATTCGCTGCTTGAACGAGAGCTTCAGCGACTTGTCCCGCAGCAGGTCCGTCACAGAGCCCCTGCAGACACACACGCGAGCGGGTTAATGCCAACCATGGCACGCACACAGAGAAAGATGATGAAGAGGAAGGCGCGGTGCTCGTACTTGGACATGAGTTCGGTGATGATGGTGAGGTTGCCGGGTGTCGTGCATGCGCCCATGAACAGCACCACATTCGGATGCCGCAAATTGCTGAACGGCACGCCGTTAGAGAGGGAATGCAATTGTAAGTGGTTATTTTATTTATTTACATAAAAATAAATATTATTTGTGAAAGTAAATAGTAAAACCAATTAATAACATTTTTAATAAGAATAAGAAAAAACGAGAAAGCGTACCACATGATGTCCACTTCGTGGCCAAAGGCGCGTAGGGCCTTCTCGTCGAGGAACTTGGTGGTGAGCTTCTTGACGGCCACGTCCTTGGCGTAGAGCTTGGCTTTGTACACCTTGCCGTACGACCCCGAGCCGAGCAGATCGCCCAGCTTGATGTCTTTGGGATCGATCTCGTAGTTGGTCACAAACACCGAGTAGTCGAGTGATTTCTTGGCCGCTGCATTCTTCTCCTCTTCCTTCTTCTTTGCTTCCTGGTCCTCCTGGTCCTTGTCGCCAGCCTTGCCCTTGCCCTTTGGATCGGCGGCTGCTGCTGCAGCAGCGCGATGGCCTCCAGCAGTCCGCTTGGTAGTAGTGGCATTTCCATTCTTGGAAGGCCGTGTTCGTGTTGTGGTCGCTGTGGTTGTGGGCTCATCAGAATCATCAGAGTCTGAATCATCTGAATCGCTGGACAGATCGGTCGATACAGATGAAGAGAGGTCGGAAGAGGAGTCGAGCCCCTTTTTCTTCTGGCCAACGGAGGGCCGACGCGCGCCCTCGTTGGTGCCAAGGAAGGGGACGGCGTCATCCCCCGACGAGTCCAATGAATCATCGAGCTGCAGCTTGCTCAAGCCATCAGCAACGCGGCTAGCCATGATTTCTTTCTTTTGCAAGCGATCAAAACGGAGAGTTCTAGTTTTGTTTTACATTTCTATTATATTTTTGTATTCCGTGAAAGTTAATGATTTTCGAAACACATTTTGAATTGGTTTCCGAAATTGGAATGCAGCGAAACATGATCTTTTCGCTGTTCTTTTGTTTCCGTGCATCAAAAAGGACGAGGTTAGCTGAACGGTGAAGTGATCATCAAGAAGGCTTGCACCTCGATCACGCGCGAAGGAACGATAGAAGAAAGTGTAAGAAGCAAGAGAGACCAAATCACTGCGAGTGATCGATTAGTGGGAATCCAGTGGGCCATTCAATCGTGCGCTTAGGGTCACCGACATCGTTAAACCGAGCGAGTGAGCATGATGTCAAACAACGAGGATGTCGAGACGACCAACAGAGGGTTGGAGCGACACGGTCACGTACAAGTGGAGCTTGGGGACAAGGAAGAGGACTTGATGGAAGCCACCAACGAAGAAGAAGAAGAAAACGCAGATGAGGACCCCAGTTCCTCGTCCTCTGATGAAGAAGAGGACGACGACATGGGCAGGGACAAGGAGGCTGAAGAAGACGGCTCGGAAGCGACGCAGACCGCTGCGGCGCAGAACGAAGAAGAAGATGACCCCGAGGCCAACTGGGAGGCCAAGTTGCCCGAGCCTGAGGCTGGTGGCCCTGCAGCCGAGAAGCGGCTCATCAAGGAGCTCGACTGGGAGCGAAAGAAGACCGGCAAGAACCAGACCTGGTATCTTCTCTCGGCCAAGTGGCTCGAGGACTGGAAGACGTACGTAGACTACGACGATGCAGAGAGCGACTCGGATGAAGATGACGAAGGCGCCGAGAAGGTCCGCCCGGGTCCGATCACCAATTCGATGCTACTCGAGCCGCAGAGCGACTACCTGCGCAGAGAGTGCACCGAAGGGCGGCACTACATCATCGTGCCCGAGGAGGCCTGGCGCCTGTGGTGGAAGTGGTACGCGGGCGGGCCGCCGCTGCCGCGCAAGACCGTCACCACCGGCTGGTACAATCAGCAGTACGTCGTCGAAGTGCGGCTGCTGCACCTCAAATTCGTCAAATCGTCGGACAAGAACGTCGAACTCCCGAGCTCCTTCTCCAAGACCGCCACCATTGGCGACCTCAAGAAGAGGATGTGCAAGCGGCTCAAGGTCGACCCCGCCAACGTGCGCCTCTGGGACTGGCACGCGCGGTACTACACCCCCCCCCCTGTTTTGCTTTTTCCCCCCTTTTATTTTTGTTTCATTATAACTCTTGCTGTAGCCTACTCGTCTCGTCTCGCTCACTCCTTGGCGGTGCTCTCTACGTACGCGTAGGAACAAGATCAAGCTGCTGACGGACATGACGGACACGCTGGACGAAGCGCAGATCATCGACAACCAGCTGGTCCTGTTCGAGGAGAAGGACCCGGCCACCGGCAAGTTCCCCGAGGATACCTACGGCAGCAGCTACCGCGCCTCGGGCTACGGCTCGTCCTCGACCTACGGCTCGTCTTCTGGCTACGGCTCCTCGTCCATCTACGGCTCCTCGTCGTACAGCTATTCTCGTTACAGCGAGCCAGGCGAGCCGGGCGTGTGCGGATTGCAGAACCTGGGCAACACCTGCTTCATGAACTCGGCGCTCCAGTGCCTCTCCAACACGGCGCCGCTGACCAACTTCTTCCTGCGCGGCACCTACAAGGACGACGTCAACGAGGTCAACCCCCTGGGCACCAAGGGCGAGCTGGTCGAAGCCTACACGGGGCTGCTCCGGGAGATCTGGTCCGGCTCGGCGCGCTCCACCCCCCCGCGCTCGTTCAAGTACAAGCTGGAGCGTTTCGCGCCTCAGTTCAGCGGCTACCAGCAGCACGACTCCCAGGAGCTTCTCGGCTTCCTTCTCGACGGCATTCACGAGGATTTGAACCGCATCAAGCAGAAGCCCTACGTTGAGGTATGCCGCGCCAGTCTGTGGTGTACAAACTTGTATTCCTTTATACCGTAGGTTAACTCTCTCGCTCTCCCCGCTTGTTGTTCGCTCGCACAGTCCAAGGAAGCCGACGGACGACCGGACACCGAGGTCGCCGAGGAAACGTGGCAGGGCCACCGCGCGCGTAACGATTCGGTGATTGTGGACAGGTTCCAGGGCCAGCTCAAGTCCACTCTCATTTGCCCCGAGTGCTCCAAGGTGTCCATCACGTTCGACCCCTTCATGTACGACTTCCCTTCACAGCATCTTGCCGACGTCGGCACCGGCACCACCAATCAACCAACCATCGCCTTATTCTTATTTTCTCTTTCCTATGCAGGTACTTGTCGCTGCCTCTTCCTATGAAGATGACCCGTCGCTTGGCTGTCACCTTTATCTCGCGCGACCCCGCGCGCCGTCCGGTCAAATACGCGCTCGACGTACCCAAGCATGGGTCCATTAAGGAGTTGAGGGTAAGGCACCTCTTTCTTTGAGTGGGACAGCTTCACCTCCCAAGCGCTTGCGGTCAAGCTGAACTGACCCTCGCAAACCTTCCTTCATCGCAGATGGCCGTCGCGGTGTTCGTGGGCGTGGACGCTCGCAACCTGATTCTGGCCGACCTCTACAACTCCAGGTTCTTCAAGGAGTACAGCGACCGCGAGAGCCTGGACGTCATCCAGGATCGCGACGTCACCGTCGTCTACGAACTGCCCCCCAACCCAGCTGCGGTACAGGGCTTCCCCGCTGCCACTCGGCCGGCCTTGTTACGGCATTTTGGCCTCACCGTTTTTCCCTCTTCGTGCGCAGGAGGAGAAGGCCAAAGTCGAGCCCGAGCCTGAACCCGAGCCCGTGGAGGACCCCTCGGACGACGACGACCAGGTCTGGGGCGACGGCTACTCCTACAGGAGGTACTCGTCCACACCCTCCAGCCGCTGCGTCGCATGGCATGCGACGCGCGGGCCAGGAACTGACTTCTCCTCGTTTAAACGTTGCCAGCATGGGAGTGTCGAGGGCGACGGCCCAACCCAAGGTGGAGGAGCCCAAGGACGGCATCATCCAGGTGCGCGTGCTCAACCGCAAGGACGAGACTGTCACGCACCGTACCTACTACGGCACCCCGACGAGCTACACGCGCAAGACCCTCTTCGGCGTGCCCTTCATCCTCCAGATCCCCAACAAGATCACCTACGCCGACCTCTACCGCGAGGCCCTGCACCAGCTGCAGCGCTTTTTGAAGGTGCGCGCTGTCGCAGCAACGCCCTACTTCTCTCGTGGTGCGGCGACTCACCTCGTCTGTGCTGTCGGTTCGCTTGCTCAGGGCATGCCCGATCAAGTGCCTGTCGAGGAGCCGATGGAGGCTGAGCAGGAAACGCAAGAGCAGGCGGCCGCAGAGGAGCAGCAACCTCAGCAGCAGGAGGAGCAGGCGGCAGATCAGACCGGCATCGAGGAGGCCGAAGAACCTGTGCATTCGGGCGAATCCAGAGCGTCCGCAAAGAAGAACAAGGGCGAAAGCTACGGCAGCGACAACGAACACGACGACGATTCGTTCTCTTCCTCTTCTGACGAGGCCGAGGTTCGCCACCACTGGCCCCCCGCCCCCGACCCTGACCGACTCTGACATCCTAGCTGGTCTCTCTCCACAGCCTTCGTACTCGAGGAGCAGCTCGAGCTACCGGCAGCCTGTCGAGACCAAGGCGCCCGTTATACCCGAATCGATCGACGGCCGACCGCTCCTCTTCACCCTCAAGCGTACGTCATCTCCTGTTCTCTCTTTTGTGTGGTATGTGTCGACATTTAAACGTTGGTCCCAAAATATTTGGGGCGGAGGCTGGGCTAGAAAGCTCCGGAGGCGAGCATGCCAAAAATTAAAAGGGTTCGTCGCCAGTGTGGCGGCAGGCCGCAGCCGAAAGGTTGAGGCCTGCGTGAATGGCAATCAAGACATTTGCACAACACAATTTTTATGCCCGGGTCGGCCTGGCACCTTTTGCCGGTCTGTCCCTCCCTTCCAACAAACAATTAATGCAGCCATGGTGTGTGTCCTGTGCCAAATCTATGACTGACAATTACTGGTATGCGCACAACAGTGGTGGATCATTTCGGCGTCAACGATCACGTCGAGTTCTCGGGCGGCAAGCACGGTGAGGAAGTCATCACACTGAAGAACACGCAGACGGTTGCGCTCTGCTGGCGTAACGAAAGCCTGTCGTTCTACGATGATGAAAAGGAGATCGACATGGAGGTGCATCCTTCTGCCAGGTACGCCACACTACTCATCATCCGCGTTGGTTGCGCCCTGTTTATTGAGTTACCTCCTCTTTGCAGGCCCGTCGAGCGCGATGAGGGCGATCAGAGTGTGTCCTTGTATGACTGCTTGGAGCTGTTCACCCAGGCAGAGCAGCTGGGACCCGAAGGTGCTTTCTTGCGTTCACTCGCCAAGTTGGAAACCCACTCACGTTCTTACACCTCCCTGCCCCCACCAAACAGACCCTTGGTATTGCAACAAGTGCGCGGAATTCAGACAGGCCACGAAGAAGTTCGACGTGTGGAAGGTGCCGCGCATCCTCGTGGTGCACCTCAAGCGATTCTCCTACAGGAACAAGTACTGGCGAGAGAAGCTCGACACCTTCGTCGATTTCCCTCTGGACGATCTCGACCTCTCGCCTCACGTTCTCGGACCCGGTACGAGAGTGCACATGGCCCACAGCTGCCGAGAGCAATATCGCATCAAAACAACCATCTGGTCGTCTCTTGCCTGGCTGACTTCTGTGGTGCTTGTTGCGTCGGTGTTGCTGCAGTCTCCACGCCTCCCGTGTACGAACTCTATGCGGTGTCGAACCACTACGGCTCCCTCGGCGGTGGCCACTACACGGCCTACGCCAAGAATCACCGCGAGAACAAGTGGTACAAGTTTGACGATTCGAGCGTGTCGTCCGTGCAAGCCGAGTCCGTCAAGACCTCGGCGGCCTACGTCCTCTTCTACCGACTTAAGGAAGACGCCAGCGAGTGGCGAGGTATGCCCACAGACCCATCCACCACCGCTGCTCCACTCGTGATGTTCGCCACATTTTGGTTCACTGCAGTTTGCTTTTGCGCCGTGTTTTTGTCTCCCCGTACCGGTGCGCTGACACACGCCCCCCCTGTCCCCGGGTGGCCTTCTTCTTGTCCCCGGGTGTGATCGCACGCGCTACTAGGCTTGTCCGTTGCCGAGGCCGAGAGCGGCGAAACCGCGGCGCCTTCGGCCGAATCGGCGACAACGGCGACGACAGCTGCCGATGCTGCCGACGACGACTCGTCATCGAGCTCCTCCGACTCAGAAGACGCCGAGCCCGAACACTCGGACGCCGACGGTGAGGCGGGTGATGTCGATATGCAAGATCCAGAGGGCGATCAGTGAGCGATCCCGCCGGGAGGATACCTTGCTGCCACCAAGCGCCACAACAGCTGTTCTTGGCAAATTTGACCAGGTCTTGTTCAACCCTCTCCTCTCTCAACCGGCGCAGTGTCTTCTCCCTCGTCATCGCTCTTGGCCTCACGGGTTACCTGGGTCGCCGCTGTCTTTTTGTCGACGCAGCGTTACGCAAACCACCAGGTTCCAGATCTCCGGGTACCCGGGCAATTAACCACCAATCCGCTTTCTTACAAGGATTGGCCGGTACCCAATCACCAATCCCAAAGGACTATTTTTCTAAATTAGGGTTGGCTGTGCGGCATCGAAAATTCGCGTTGCTGTGGACTTGCGCCGGTGCCTGGCGTCGGTGACCCAGATGGCCGTTTGGACCGGTGAACGGTATCCCCAGGGATGATCGATATTGCATTGGGGCTCATCATCATGTCCAGACACCGGTGCTCGGCCACGAGCAAAACTCAGCGAAAGCGGCACCTCTGCAGCTCGCCAGAATCTCGCTTGGCGTCTGGAACGCTTGTTCCTTGGCGTCTGGAACACTGAGCTCTGCCTTGCGTCGGTCTTCACCTCGCCCACCCGAACACCGACCTGGCCTCACTCCCGCTTCGTCTTGCTGGCTGCCGCTTGAGCTTTGGGTACCCTACTACCTACTCCTGCGGGCCTGCCGCTCTGGCCTGTGGTCTGTTTCCACGGCGCCCATGCAACCAACGCGTGTCGCGGGCGGTTGTATCGCCTTGTTTGGGCGCAGTATCGCGTGTGGCTAATTTGTTCGAGCATCGGTGGTCGAGCAGCATCCTGCTCTCTCTTCCTTCCGCACGCCTCGGCACCCGCGCACCACCCAAAGGCTGACCTCTTGCTTCTCTCTCTCTCTCTGTTGCCGCTCTCGTCTGGGCAGAGAAGGTGGGCACAAGCTCGAGACCGAAAAAGCCAAAGAAGGTGAAGAACGAGGCCGAGTTACCTCTCCTCTGCGTGGTGCCGAAGGCCAAGACGACGACAACCAGGCCGCCGAGCAAGAAGACGAAGAAAGTCAGTCGACTTTGATAAGCGTTGGCAAGTGCCCCAGCATAGGCAAAAGAGAGCTTGGCAGTTAGCTGGGCCAACCAACTACCGGCTCGCCATCATCCCCCGGCACCGCCGACGTGAGGTTGAAGAGCAACATCCCAGGTGGGGCGAGACGGTCTGCTACGCTACGCATCGCCTCCTCCCGCACAACCAACCGCTGCCCCTTCATCCGCAAGCGTAACCGCCCAGCATCGAAGCGAATCAAATTTCCACATCTTCATCTCTGCTGCCGCGCAATCGTTTTGTCCGAACCCATCTTCCATCATTCGGCATAATCCCTCCTCCGCATCTACTTCCCTCGACTCGGCAGCGCTCGGGCTGCAGATTCCACACGCTACACTCGCCAAGCGAATGCTCGAAGCAGAGAGCGAGATCATGATGACGAGGAACCCCACACAGCAGGCACCCGGCATCAAGGACAAGGCGACCAATACGCCCGCCGTAATCGCTTGGTATGAGTGCAATCCCTCCCCTTTTTGATAACACCACCTGCGCCCCACCTCCGGCCGCCTCCTTCTCTCGGTTGGCAGCATCTCCCACGTGGCCCATCGTTTTTACGTTTTATTTTATTTTAATCTTGGGCTCCTCAATCCGTGGATGCATTGATTTGTTCTCTACGCGATGCAAATCAGCTCTTGCTTGCGCTATTTGTGTGCATTCACGGAGTGATATGGTGGCTGAGGAAACTGGGGTCTTGCATGCAAACTCCTCGCTGCCGCGCTACACGATCGCGATTCTTGAGAACAGAAATTAACAGTTCATCTCTTCACACGACAATATATCACCTCCAACAGGCTGCTCACAAACTACGCTCTGCGTGAAGGAGCTCCCTCGCTGCCCAAGGCCCAAGTCTACCAGGAGTATGTGGCCTACTGCGGCGAAGCGGGCCTGGAGCCCACCACGCCGCCCGCCTTCGGCAAGATCCTCCGAGTAGCCTTCCCCAGCATCGAGTGCCGACGCAAGGGGCCGCGAGGCGAGGCCAAGCACCACTACAAGCACTTCTGCAAGAAGTCGGACCTCGCGCTACTCGTACTTCCCTCCTCCTCTACTTCATCTTCTGCCGCCTCCGTAAACGGTCACATCTCGCCATCGCCCATCCCCACTTCCAAGTTCGACGTCTCCTCGGGCACCACACATCGACTCATCACACCAGCTTCTTCCTCGGCGAGCGTACGTCTCCCGAGCCTCCGCACCACCTCGCCCTTCCAGCCGATCATGGACGACGTTTCGCATCAGCTCTACCCCCACCGCTACCACGGCGACTACCACGACGGCGAGCTCGTCGATGGCGTGTCCTCGGGCGCCGCAGCAGCGAAGAAGCGGGCGCTCGACTCGCACGGCTCCGATCCGCACGCGGACCTGCGCGAGCTGCTCAAGAAGAAGATCAAGAGCGAGTCCCGCGGGGCCGACGCCGACCCGAGTGCACAGCGAATGCGCGGCGGCCACATGCAGCAGCACCATGGTGGCCCCGACCAGGACAACGAAGCCGAGCTCGGCGGCAGCCAGGATCAACACCACAAGCGGCGACGTCTGTCGCAGGAGATCAGCAACAACAGCAACACCAACGGTGTCGAATACGAGAACAACAGCAACAGCAACGATGACGATGACGAGGAGGGCGCCGTGGCCGAGTACATTCGCCAGTTCAAGAGCAGCACGGAGAGCATCGACCGACGCAAGTCGCCGAGCCCTCCGCTGCCTCTCCAGCGACCATCATCCGCTCTCGGCGGCGAGACTGCGACGAGGCTCGACCCGTCGCCGCCGGCGCTCCCGTCGTTCAACTCGCTCGCGATCCCTCTACGGCTGCCACCGCTCCCGCAGCAGCCGCCCATGACCCACTCCATGCTCGCGCCGTCCTCAGGCGCGTCGGCCGTGCACAGCCGGCTGCCGTCGCCGCTCGACTTCTCGTCGCTGCGTTCGGCCTCGCCCTCGCCCGCGCCCTCGCCCTACGGCCACACGCGCTCACACACAGCCACCCCGCCGCCGGCCCAGTTCTTCGCGCCGCCCGCGCCCTCGTCGTCGTCGGTGTCCGCCGGCAACCCGCCGCCGGCGCCCTCGTCGTCCCAGACCGCGCTGCTCCTGTCGCACCTCCAGGAAAAGGAGCAGGAGGTGGAGAAGCTCACCAACGAGCTCAAGTTCCTCCACAGCCGCCTGGCTTCGACCACGCCCATCCCGCTGCCGTCTCCGTCGCCGTCGCCCTCGTCGTCGCTCTTTCCGTCGCCCCACTCCTACTCGCCGTCGCCCATGCACCACCCGCCCAGCCCGTTCGCGCCGCACGCGGCCTACATGCGATCGTCGCCGGCGCCCTACATGGCCGGCGGCCACTCGTCGTCACCGTCGCCCTCGCCCTCGCCTCTCCACCACCTCCACCACAGCTTCACCCCGCTCTCGCCGCCGCCCGGCGCGTCGTCGTCGCACAGCGCATCGCCTCTGTCGCACCACCACCCGCACGCGCGCCAGTACTTTGCGCCCATTCTCACGCTCGAGGAGCAACAACAGCAACAGCAGCAGCTTCACCACCAGCGGGACAGCACGCCGCCGATGCAGACGACGGTCACGGTCAAGCGGGAGCGATCGAGCAAGGGGCGGGAGAGCGCCACGCGCGACCTGATGGCCTCGCCGGGCCCCGGCGTCGAGCGGTCGTCCTCCACGTCGCCCACCCACCGCAACCGCTCGGCGTCTCCGCTCGACGCCGACGAGTTCTCCTCCACGTCGCCCTCCTCGCCCACCTTCTCCTCCAAGGTCATGAAGAAGGAGGCCATCCCCGTTGTCGTTCATTGGTACCACCTTCATCGTCGTTTTCGTTCTTCGTTTTCGTTCTTGTGTTGCTGACGTCATCGCTGTGTTGCTCGTCGTACGTACAGGATCAAGAAGAACTACGAGCTCAGCGCGGACTCGTCGTCGGACCTGCCCAAGGAGCAGGTCTATCGACACTACCGCGAGTTCTGCGAGGAGACCGGCGTGCAGCAGACCAACTGCGCCACCTTTGGCAAGATCCTCCGCAGCGTGTTCCCCAACCTCAAGACCCGACGGCTCGGCTCGCGCGGCAACACCAAGCACCACTACCACGGCATCCGCCGAAGGTACACACCTCGTGACACACACACACACACACACGACCGCACACGTGTTCTCAACACGGCACGCACGACACACGCAGGAAGTCGCCGCTGTCTACGGAGTCGGGCGCACAGGGCGGAACGACGTCGCCGCCGCCCAACCTGAACGCGCTGGCGGTGCTGGCGTCGATCTCAGTGACGGGCGGCGGGTCCCCGATGCCCTCCCCGCCGGGCATCCCTCCGTCCAGCTCCGGCTCGCCGCGACAACAGCCCCACGCCTACGAAGACGAAGTCGACGACGACGACGACGAAGACAACGACAACGAAGACGACATGGACGAGGAAGACATCGAACACGAAGGCACCAACGGCAACGACAACCGCAACGACCAACCTCTCCTCCAGTCTCCAGTTCCCATACGACCGCACGCCAAGGGTACAGCTCCAACCACCTGCATACATTCTATGCATCCCCCATCTCTTTTTCACCTCCTTCGTTCTTTGTTCTTCGTTCTTTTTCATCTTCTTGTTCCACTTTGATCGATCAGCCCTGGCTAACGGCTCTTGATGATAATCGTGACAGTAGCGGGCGAGTCGGAGGAGATGATCAATGAAGATGAGGAGGAGCAGCAGCCGGTGGCGAGCTATGGGTGGATGGCGGGCGGCAGCGGAGGCGACTTCGCGCTCTCGTCGCGCCGGTGCACGGTCGAGGCCTGCGAGAACCGGGCGGCGGCCCAGCGCACCATCTGCGAGAAGCACAAGAAGCAGCAGCAGCGGGCGCGGCTCCGAAACAGCCTCGACGCCAAGATCAGCTCCACCGCCACCATCTTCAGCGCCGCTCCTTCCTCTTCCTCTTCGTCTTCCTCTTTGTCGTCTTCGCTCTCCTCGTCCTCCTCCATTCTACCACCGCTCTCCGCTCTCTCCCTTTCACCAGCAAGCGACGTTCCGCCTCCCCTCTGAGCGGGCGCGTGCACGCCTCCTTCATCTTCTTCTTCATCATCATCTCCTTGTTGTTGTAGTGTACCGCCATAAATGCCACTGCATTCCTCGAATTTTCTCTCGAATATTTCTTTTTCCCGCCAAGCCAAGGCCACGTCAGCAGTGGCATACTCCGGTGAAGGAGCTCCAAACGGCGGAGGTCTGCAGTCCCGCTTCCACCTTTCACCCCCCCCCCCTTCGCCCCTCGGCCTGTTGTTGCTCTTCTTCTTCTCACGCACCGCTGGAGGCACATAAGAACGCGTCAGCAGAACCACCGTCACTGCGCCCCAAAACAGAAAAGAAGTAGTCGTGGCAACGCGAACGAGGAGGCCGCCCATGCAGGACCATCAGTCGGAGGCGCTACCCCGCACGAAGGAGGAGAAGAGGCTACAGCGCGAGCGGTTCACGCGGTTACTTCTGCAGTCGCCGCCGCCGGTCATCCTCTTCTTCTCCCGCGCCGACAGCTCCCCCGACGCTGCCGCGCTCACTTCCGCTTCTACTTCGCCCACAACCTCCGCAAGCGGCCCGCGCAAGCGGAAACGGCCAGCGGGCGCAGCTGCACGAGCCAAGCGGCCCGCGCACCGTCCGGCCGCTGCCAACCAACCGCGCGCCGACGAAGACGAGGAGGACCAGGCCATGGCTGCAGCCGCGGCGGCAGCGGAGGAGGAAGACGGCGAGGAGAGCGACGAGGCCCCGGTTCGCGAGCGCGCGGCCCTGTCCACCTGCCCCGTGCGACAGTAGACGACAAGCACCAGAAGAGAGCGCGTAACACAGGGATGACTGACCAACCAAGCCAAGCACACGGCTGTGGCTGACCGAACACACAGCGCGTGCCCAGCGTGTGTTGTCGTTGTACCACACCCGCATCAACAATGAAAGCATAACGTTGAACCGATGTTTCTTCTTCTTGTCCAAAACGTTCGTGTTCAACACATGTAGACCGTCGTCATCACAACCGGCTAGCTCATGAGGACCTCGAAGCGGAGAAGGCGGGAGGTGACGTCGGACGGCAGTCGGTACTGGATGCGGCCGGTGAAGGCGGCCAGGGCGCGTGCGCGGCTCTTGATGGCCTCCATCTCGTGAAGCCGCGCCGGGTCGGACGGGAAGAGGAACGAGGCCGACTGGCTCCCGGTGCCGGGCGCGATGGCGCCGTAGAGCTTGTAGAGCACCGACATGGCGGCCAGGATGAGGTCGCCCACGCATCGCTTCACCGTCTCGTCGAGCTTCGCGAACAGCTCCACCTTCTCCGGCACCGTCGCCTGGTCGAACGGCAGAATGCCAATCACCTCCAACCGCTGCAGCGCTGTGTGCGGTGGTGTGTGTGTGTCGTGTGTCGTGTGTGTGTGTGAGAGAGAGTGAGTGAGTGTGAGCAGGAGACCAAGGCAAGAGACGAACGAGGGGAAGGGAGGGGAGAGTACCTTCGGGCAGTCGGTTGGCGTTGCTGAGGTCGAAGAAGTGGGCGGTCTGGATGAGGGTGCGCAGGGTCTCGAGCGACCTGGTGGGCGCCTCGCGGATGGTCGAATAGCGCGTGTTGACGTCGAGCGCGAGCGCGATGAGGGCCTGCCTGTCCGGTCCGGCCGCCGATACCAGCGGACCCAGCGCGGCGTTGAGCAGCGACAGCACCTTCTCGTAGTCGCCCGCCTCGTGGTAGAGCTTGACGGCGGCCGGCAGCTCGGCGCGCTCCTCGCAGGCGGCGGCGACCACCTCGCGGAGCCTTCGCACGCGTGCGGCATCGCCCAACACGCGCAGCACCAGCCCCTCCCGGCCCTCGGTTCCGAGGAGGGCGTCCACCTCTCGCGTGTTGAGCACAAAGTCCTTCAGCATCAGGTCCTCCAGCGCCACGTCCCTGTTTGGCCATGACCACGCCACGCAGCGTGAGCAAACAGAGAGAAAGAGCGAAAGAGAGAACGAAGAGAAAAGAGAGAAAGCGACAGAGAAGAGCGAAAGCGAAAGGCAAAGAGCGAAGAGAACGCACCTCACGAGATGAATGTAGTTGAGCGCCAGCGCGAGATCTCGTCTCTGCTCGACGACTGCCAGGGCGTAGTGCCACAGCATGCGCGGAAGATCGACAGCAGATCTACCTGCTACACGGGGGGGGGGTCAGCCGAAAGGCCAAACGAGGACCGATGCGCGGGAGGGTTCGGTACCGGAGGTCTCACTGTAGATGGAGTTGGGCGAGCGAGGCGCGTCGGCGTCAGGCACGCGCAGCACGCCGTAGTAGTAGAGGCCCGTGGCAAAGTGCACCGCCTCCACGGCGTAGTCACCCTTGCCCCACAGGAACTCGATGGCCTTCTCGAACTGGAGCGTGATGAGCACCACCTGATCACCACCACCACCAAGCCACGATCAACCACCTGGACGATGATAACCAAGGCCTTGCCATCATCCATTGATGTAGCGTGGTGGTGGTGGTGGTGGTGGGCGATGCATACCTGGAAGTAGAGGAGCGGGTGCTTCTTGGCGTTGAAGTGGTCCGGTCCGAACTTGCACACCTGCTGCTGCAGCCTGCGGAGGGACGCGGCGAACGCTTCGCCGTTCTCCTCCTGGACGATGAGCGAGAGGTGGAACCAAATCCAGTCCTGTCCACACGCGTCAAATTGTGAGCGAGCGTGTACGTGTCGTGTCGTTGGTCGTGTCGTTGGTCGTGTCGTGTCAACCTGTGTGGTGGAGATGGGAGCGGGCAGAGAGCTCGGCGTGTGGCGCGTGAGCAGCATGTAGATTATTTGCTTGAAGGGATCGCGCGTGGCATTCAGCGTGCGCCTGCAATCGGCCTGTTGCAGCTCCGACAGGTGTCCCTGCAGTACGTGCGGCGCGGGCGCGGGCCGCGGCGTCAGACGAGTGCACTAGTCTGCGGGACAAGCGCGGGGTGGCGTACGTTTTGTGAAAAGGCCTGGAGCAGGCCGGCGAATTCCTGAAGAGGCGGGTTGGCCGAGAGTGCGAGCTGGCAGGCAGAGCCGACGTCTCCGGCGCGGAGGGCGTAGTAGATCTCGGCCCACGCGCTGCCGGCCTCCTCGAGCTGGCTGTGTGCGCCGGGGCGGGAGAGGGCCACGGCCCGCGCGTAGGCCCGCGCGAGGCTGTGCATACCGGGCTCGCCGCCCAGCTCGGCCCGCTTGGCATTCCGATCTACCACCAGCTGCATCACTCGTTGGTACCTATAGTGGTCACAAAGGAATGGGGGGGAGAGAACGCGACGTGATGAGCAGTCGGGCGGCAAGAGAAGAAGAAGAACGAAATGCGAAGCGGGAGAAGGAGGAAGGCCCGAGACGCAACTGTTTCTCGAGGAACTGTTTGGCGCCGGAGAGAAACTTGCGCGAGAGGGCCTCGGGCGCCTCGCGGTAGGTCCGCTCGTAGACGGCCTCGGGTAGGGCCACGGCGGCGCTCGTGGCCTGCTCGGGCTCACCCACAATCCTGCTCAGCAGGTCCCAGCAGTCCGCCACCTCCTTCCGCCGCTGTGCGAGAAGAAGAAGAAGGCGTGGCTTAGCCAAGGGTCGATCGAGAGCGAAAGAGCTTAGAAAGAAGGGAAGCGCTACCAGCTCGGTGTCATCGACGGTCCGGGCAGCCTGCTGGAAGGCCTGCATGGTGGAGAAGGAGCGCTTCTCTCGCCTCTGTTGGTTGAGCTCGTCCACGACCTTGCCATAGGCGGTCATCTTGCCGACGGCCTCCTGTGCCGATCGCGCAGCGCCGGCCCGGCCGAGTGGAGTCGCGGGCGAGGCGAGAGCCGCGGCGGTGAAGTCCATACCGGGCTTCATGGGCGTAGAGGGTGCAGAGGTCCCGCGTGGGAGCAGGGCCGAGGAGAAGCCCAGCGCCTCGAGTAGCTCCGACTTGGCTCCCTCCCAGTCGCTGTCCAGCTTCTTGGCTGAGTTCCTTTTGAAGTGATCAAGCGTCTGGAACAAGTAGAGACGAGCAACGATGAGCACCAACGTTACGGCATGAAATGATGGAGATTTGTAAACAAACAAAACCATTGCGACCGCGATTTACCTCTTTCTTTGCGTCTTGGATGGCTGCCATGATGATTTGATCATGTGCGAAGCTGCAACGCGAACATTGGAGTGAGAAATGTCACCAGGGTCCAAAAGAGGGGAAGACGAGCATACTTGAGCGAGCCTTCGAGATCGGTATCGGCGAGCGCGAGCTCAAGGGGCTCGTAGGTTAATTTGAGATTGACAGCGTTCAGATTTCTGGATAGCTTGTCTGCATCGAAGCCCTTGGTCGCCAAGAGGTAGCGACCCTTGTTCTTGGCGACATCTTTCGTTGAATGGGACAGGGTCGTGTGCAGGGAGCGCGTTGTGTCGTCGATCTGATCTACATTCCTCTGAATGAGGTACTCGCCCGTCTGCCGCGCCAACTGGCGGGATTGCTCCAGCAGCGAGGAGAAGGAGCTGGCTCTTTTGCTAGGCCCGTCCATCTTCCTCTGCGCCAATTCCGATTCGAATGCCCGCGAGCTGCCCAAAATTTTGGCGCGAAGGAATAGGCAAAGAGAAAAACCAGGGAATCAAAGAGAAACTGTAATCCGTCGACAACATTACTTGGAAAAACAGTGAAGTACACTCGCCGGCCCCGTTCATCCGCGCACAGACATCGACAGCGATTCAATTCGAAGATGATGCAAAAGCTGCAAGCCCTGGGTCCCGCCCTGAACAAGGTGGCGATCGGCGCGGTGAGCGTTGGTGCGGTGGGTTATGCGTTGAACGAGTCCATGTACACGGTCGATGGCGGCGAGCGGGCCATCATCTTCGATAGATTGAGGAACGGTACTCGGGACTTCATCGTCAAGCCGGGCACTCACTTCCTCATCCCCTTCCTCCAATTCCCCATCATCTACGACACCCGCACCACCCCCTTCAACATCAAGACCGAGACCGGCAGCAAGGATCTGCAGCGAGTGAACATCACGCTCAGGGTCCTCTACAGGCCGGACAAGAAGAAGCTGCCCTACATCTACCAGAGGCTCGGCGTCGACTACAGCGCCAACGTCTTCAACTCAGTCGGTAACGAAGTGCTCAAGGCCGTGGTGGCGCAGTACGATGCCACTGAGCTCATCTCGAGGAGAGAAACGATTTCGAACCAGATTCGGCAGAGGCTCGTCAAGCGTGCCGGCACCTTCGGCCTCAAGCTCGAGGACGTGTCGATCACGCATCTCACCTTCTCCCCCGAGTACGTGCGCGCCATCGAGCACAAGCAGGTGGCCCAGCAGCTCGCCGAGCAGGCCAAGTTTGTCGTGGCCAAGAACGAGCAGGAGAAGCTCGCCAAGATTATCGTCGCCGAGGGCGAGGCTGAGGCTGCCGCCCTCATCTCCAAGGCCATGAGCGGTCCCGGCTACATCGCGCTCAGGCGCATCGAGGCCTCTCGCGACATCGCCGAGGAGCTCAGCCGTTCCAGGAACATTGTCTACCTCCCCTCTGGTACCAATGTGCTCATGAATCTGCCCCAGGTCGGTCAGCAGTAAAAAAAAGGAAACGAAATCACTTCAAACACAGCCCTCCTCGAAAGATTTCATCTCGTCTCGCGATGTCGTTGCCCACGTTGGTGGTACGTCTCCCGCGGACTTGGTATTTTGCGCAGCTTGGAATGTACGGCCCGTGCACGCGGAGCGGGGTCACCGCGCGGTTTGGGGCACAGCGCGGGCCAACAGGGAGGGACCTGGGCGTAACGTACACCCGGGAAGCCCGTTAGAGGGGTAGGTCGACCCTGCAGCGATTCCTTCAGTCCGTTCACTTCTCGCACAGCAGCCACACCACAGGCTCACACCTCATCACAATCCTCACCAAGGCATCATCGTTGATACCTTGTTCTCTTGTTCGATATCGCTAGAGATTCGGGCAAATTTACCTCATCTCGACCAACCACCTCAACAGTCCCTACCACTACACAGCATCACGATGCCCAGGAGGAAGAGGAAGGACCCCAACGCGCCCAAGCGCGCCATGACCGCCTACATGCTCTTCTCGCAGGAGAAACGAACGCAGATTAAGACCGACCATCCCACCGTCGGCTTCGGCCAAGTGGGCAAGCTGCTCGGAGAGGCCTGGGCGGCGCTGCCCGACGGAGATAAGAGGGTACGCTCAACTGGCATCTTCACAAGCCGTTGCTTCGCGTGCCAAATTTAGTCTATCCTTCGAATTTCAAATCGAAATTGAATCGCTGACCTATACCCCTTGCGCTAGCGCAGAAGTACAACGAGCTTGCCGCCAAGGACAAGATCCGGTACCAGAAGGAGGCGGCTCAGTACAAGGAGGACCACCCCGAGAGCAGCGATGAGGAGGAGAGGCCGGCCAAGAAGAGGAAGAAGAAGGATCCCAATGCCCCCAAGAAGCCCTGCTCGGCCTTCTTCCACTTCAGCAAGAAGATGAGGCCACGAATCAAGGACGAGAACCCAGACGCCTCCTTCGGCCAGCTCGGCAAGATCATTGGCGAACAGTGGTCGAAGCTCGGAGCCGATGAGCGAAAGGTAAACTCTACTCTCCCCATCAAATCCCTTGTCGCCCATTCCCAATCATTTATTTATTCATTCATTCCAGGAATTCGAGACCCTTGCCGCCGCAGACAAGGAGCGATACGCGAAGGAGATGAAGGACTATCAGGCCAAGAAGGACTCTAGCTCCGACTCTGATAGCTCTGACTCGTCCGACAGCGATTCCTCCTCTGGCTCGTCCGGCTCGTCTGATTCGGATTCTGACTAGATCGTTGCCGCTACCGCTTCCGCCACTCGACCACAACCGCCAACCTGCATATCGACGAAATGCCCTCAACTCAATAACCCAGTGTTCAGTCAAACCTCCTGCATCAGCGCTGGCTCGACGACACACACGCGCGAGGCGTTGATACTCTTCTCCCTCGTTCGCGCGACCACGTCAACCTCTCCACCACGTCGCACCCTTTTGTCACAATAAAACAAACAACTTCGCGCGACCTACTCTTGTTGTTGTACACCACGCGCCGTTCGAACAAGGAACCAAAACGCCGAACAGGAGCGCAGACGAGGCCCAAGGAAGCTCTCCGGAAGAGGGATGGAGGCGGTCTACTTCTCCGACGACGTCCTCTTGCACGTCTTCGAGTACTGCCCACCACCTCAACGAAACGTGTTGGTATGGGGCTAGCTAAGAACCTAGAGCAGGTTTGTGGGGTGGCGGGACGTGGTGGTGAGGGCGAGCGCGGTCTGTCAGCGCTGGCGAGCCGCAAGCCTGGACAGCGCCCTCTGGAGCACCTTCTTCCGCTCTCGCTGGGGTGCCTCTCCTGCCCCCCCGCCAAAGAACGAAAACTGAAGAGAGAAATGCGACCGTCCACTGGTCAAGGAGCTGAGGCGGTGGCGGGCAACCGAGGCGACGCCCGAAGCTGGCTCGAGCTGTTTCGGGTCCGATACGCCCAAGAGGCGGTGGGGCTCGAGTGGTGGCGCGAGTATGGAAAGACGGAGTGGACTATTCAGCTCCCCATCGTCGATGTGGCCCAGCTGGGCGAGCTGGACCTCGCACTGATCGAGCAGGACGACTGCCCTACCGTTCGAGTGGTACATCCGTCCGTATGCGTGGTGTGCGGTGTTGTTTGAAGTCGTACGTAGTTGATGAGCCGACCTTTTTAGGGTCTGTTTGGGTTGTCGGGTGTGGGGAAAACAGCGCTCGCCACTCGCCTCGTCAAGGTGGCGTTCCAACCAATTCACACCACCACCTCGTCGTCGTCTTCTTACTTTCTCACGCCACTTCTCTCCACTCCAATTTGTCTCATCACAGAAACATTTCGTGGAGGAACACGACCCTGACGATGGTATGCAGGGTGGTGAATGCTAAAAATTGGGTTAACCCCGAAACTCACTCACACCAGAGGAGACCCACATTTACAACTTGATGGTCGGGTTTCGCTCCGCTGCCTTGCATATCATGGCCCCCCCTGATCGGGTTGAATTCAAGGTACATACACTTCTCATCTTTCAACGACGTCGCATTTGCTTCTATTCCCCCAACGACTCCCTTTGGCCCTCCCTCGCAGGACATGCGGAACGGGTTCGTGAGGTCGATCCAGCTGCCGCTGGTGGTCTACTCGGCAACTTCGATCGAATCCTTCGCGGCCTGCGGCGACTACATTGACCAGGTGTGCACGCCACCTCAGACACACCTTTTCTTTTGGTTGTTATGAGGAATGCACGCGCCCCTCATCATCTTCCCGTCACGCAACGTTGATGTGTGTGTGTGTGTGTGTGTGGGGGAGGGAGCAGGTCTGCCGGGTGATGGACTCCAGCTGGTGGCCGATCATCATGGTCGAGACCAAGGTCGACCTGGTCCATGAGCGGCGGGTGCCTACCGCGATGGGTCCCAAGGCTGCGCGATCCAGGGGCTGCCTTTTCATCAGGTTGGGACACATGACACACGACTCACGACTCACGACACACGACACACGACTCACGACACACGACACACGACACACGACACACGGCACGCACGCGACACGGCACACACACCACACACGGCACGCACACGGCTCTGGCACATGTCGACATGTCGGGCGAGCGCAGGACCAGCGCCAAGACGGGGGAGGGCGTCGAGGAGGCATTCTCGGGCTGCGCTCACCTGTTTAGCGCAGCCCGAACGGGTGCGCTCGGGCCGACGGTCGATTCCTGGGTCAACTCTTTTGTGCGCCTTGACGTGCGGCGCAAGAAGAATGCCAACTGCCTTCTTGCATGACATGGTGACAATATCGACGTTGCAATGCAACGAAGAGCGTATAAAAACAGCAAATCACATTGAACTCCTTAAAAAAACAAACTTGCGAACAGCACGAGCCAAGTAGTCCTAGTAGTCCTTGTCGTCGTCGTAGTGGTCGTCGTCGTGCTTCTTGCCGCCGTCGCACTCGCGCTTGCACTGGCGGTGACGCGGGCACTTCTCGCCGTACTCGCGGTACTTGCCGTGCTCGTCGGGGTAACAGCCCTGGCCGTCGGCGTAGAACACGCCGCAGTCGCGCTCGACGGGGTAGCAGCCGTGGGCATCGCGGTAGTACCACTGGTGGCCGATCTTGCGCGGGCAGCACCCGTCGTCGTCGCTCCACTGGCCGCCGTGGCACTGCTTCTTCTTGTTGTCGTAGTCCTTGTCGTGGTCGTCATCGCAGGGCTTCTCGCTGGTGGTGCGGTGGTGCTTCTTGGTCGAGGTGGTCTCCTTGGGGCACTCCTCCGTGGTCGACGTGGTGCGGTGGTGCCTCCTGGTCGACGTGGTCTCCCTCCTCGTGGTGGTGGTCTCCTTGGGCGTGGTGGTGGTCTCCTTCTTTGTGGTGGTCTGCCTCCTGGTCGAGGTGGTCTCGCGGGGGCACTCCTCGGTGGTCGACGTGGTGCGGTGGTGCTTCCTGGTCGTCGTACTCTCGTGGCACTCGTCATCATCATCATAGTGGTCGTCGTGATCGGGACGAATGCAGTACTGGTGGCACTTGCGCTCATCGTCGCAGTGCTCGCCGTCCTTAGCGTAGTTACCCTTCTCGTCCGGGTAGTACCTGTCATGAGCGCAACCATCGAGTCAGCTCATGTGGATGCATGCATGTGCGCGCGTGTGCGCGTACCCGTTGCCATCAGCGTAGAAGACGCCGCAGTCGAGGTCCTTGGGGTAGCACTTGTTGGCATCGCGGTAGTAGGCCTTGCCCTTGATGATCTTCGGGCAGCAGCCCTTGCCGTCGGGCCAGTAGCCGCCCTTGCACGGACCCTTGTTGTCGTGCTTGTCGTCATAGTCGCCATCGGCCAGGGCGGCGACGGCGAAGAGGGCGAGGCCGAGGGCCGCGATGAAGAGCAGCTTGGTGGATGTCATCCCAAGGCTGGTTGTAGGCTGGTTGGTTGAGATGAGTGATTGTTTGGCCTGGTCGGGCGCCTTTTTGTGGTGCTCGCCGGCCAATCAGACTGCGCGAGCTTGAGCACCTCCTCGGCGGGCCCATCAAGTCGCCCAATCCCACGCTCGAATAGGACTTAAAGCTTGAAACTAAAGTAATTGGTTCCATCTACAGCCTGTGCGTATGCTCTTAAGGCGAGTGGGTGTCGAGTCACCCTGAAGCTCATGTACAACTTTGAGGCCATTGTGGAGTTGGAGGAGATAAAGAACGAAAGCGGAAAAAGAGAGAAGAGCAGTTTAGTGTGCCATCATGTGGTGTCTGCGTCGCATGGGAGATCGAGAGGCCACCAGGTTTCGTTCCTCAAACCTCCTTGGGCCATGTTGGCAGAGCCGGGTGGTGTTTCGGAGTTTCAGGCGAGCCGGGCGGTTGGAGCAGCCGAGCTTGTGTTGCATCACCCTGCCAAAGGCATATAATGCAAAGAAACTCATGGATTCGCTCAAGCTCTCTGTTTTATGGTTGGCGCAGATAGAGCCTCCAACAAACCGAGTTGAGCCAATCCCGGCCTCGTCCTGGCGGAAAAGGCGCCTGGAGCTTGAAGCCTTCGCCACCCCCATATAAAAGGCCAGGCATTCTAATGCTCTCATTCACATCAAACACCACCTACAGCCCTACAAAACCACCTACAAACTCAACCTAGAGTACAATGCTAAGCACCACCAACCGGCTGCTGTTCGTCTTGGGGGTGGCCCTGGTCCTGGTAGGCCTGGCCGCCTGTGACGACAATAGAGCCCCTCCCTTGCGCATCTGTCGCATCGCTGACCGCTCCTCGGCCTGCCTCCGAGGCGAGTTCTGCGCCCTGCCATTGGGCATGTGCGGCGAGGTACTCCCACCTTCGGCCGAAGAGCTCCTAACCAATACACGTGCTTTCTTTCACAAACCTAACCGCTCCGTGCTTTGTGATTGGCTCGGGAAACATAAACAGGACAGGGGAACCTGCACAGCCATCCCTCAGCAGTGCATCGAAATTTTCGACCCCGTGTGCGGCTGCGATGGTCGCACGTACGGCAACGAGTGCGAGGCCCGGCGGAACTCCGTCTCGGTCCGCTCGAGGGGCGAGTGCCCCCGGACCCCGGACCCCTGGTACGCCACACAACCCCACGACACGACACACGACGACGCGATGCTCACTCTGAAGAACACGACGCAGTAACGAGTTGCGGGAGCTGTGCGCGCAGCTGATCGAGCGCATCGACCTCTTCTCCGAGCAGCTCTACGCGACCAATGGCTACGGCGCCCCCTTGGACTACAACCGGGTGAACTGGACCTTCGTGGAGCGCCTCATTGACACCAAGAACTTCCGCTGGGAGGACTACAGCCCCGTACCTCTCCAACCCCCCCCCCACATTTCCAAGTAGCACTCAAAATTATGAACATAAATGCTTGTGTGGGGGGGGGCGTGTAGTTCTCGTCGGCGGGCATCTACACGAACATCAGGACCTACTGGAGGGCTCTGAACAGGGCCGACGACGAGTTCCCACTCATCGGCAATGTCGAGGCGCAGTGGACCACATGCGACCCGTTCGCCCGGCGCGTGGTGTCCCAGTACCGTGAGGTCTATGGCCGCGCCCGCTACTTTGACCAGTGGGGCCGCCCGACGGTGACGGAAACCAGCACCTCGATCTACGTCTCCGAGTTCGAGCCCAACGGGCTGCGCATCACCAAGCAGGCCTTCTGGACATCGGGCAACCTCATCGACCTCGTCCGCCCGCAGAGGGACAACGGCGGTGGCAACGGCGGTGGCAACGGCAACGGCAACGGCAACGGCGGTGGCAACGGCCATGGCCGCGACTAGACTCGTGGCCACGTCTGGCGGCAATCGCGATGGGGGCGTTGTGCTGCGAAGAAGACATCACGATCACGAGCTGTGAACTGTGCAGACTGGAGGGAGGTAAAGAGATGTGGGGTGCAGAAGGATTAAATATAGGATGTGAGGAATAGTCGCGTTTGGCCTTGCCTCACAGTTCGCTGTGCACGCGCGCAGCGGGGAACTTCTCGGTGAGCTTCCGCTTGAAGATGCCCACCGTCTCCGCATCAAAATTGGTCAACCTGTAAAGCACACGCACACGCACACACGCACACACGCACCGCACACGCACACAACAGGGCCAGCAAGAGAGAAGCGTAAGTTGGACTTCCGCCACCGAGAATGACTCCGACGCACACATGGGCGGAAGGGACGGGGTGGTGTCATGACACTGACCTGACGTCCTTGAGGCGCGTGGGCTTTTGCTGGTGGTAGAAATCGGTCGTCGTCTGCACCATGATCTCGGCACAACGCTCCTTGGGGAACCCTGCCAGTGACAAGCGTGTGTCGTGTGTCGTGTCGTGCGCGGTCGTGTGCGCATCACAGATTGTGTCTCGGTGAGCTCTTGGGCGAGGCGACCAACGGGTAAAGAAAAAGTGTTGGGTGGCAGGTGCACCGAAGATGCCCGAGGAGATGGCCGGAAGAGCCACGCTCCGCGCTTGCAGCTCCTCGGCCTTCTTGAGGCTGTTGAGCACCGCCTTCTCGAGCTTGGTCTCCTCTTGGTCTCCGCCCCCGTGCCAGACAGGGCCCACCGCATGCACCACGTACCTGTGTGGTTGAAGGGTCCATTCAATACCAGCAATGCGTCGTGTCGTGTCGTGTGTGTCGTGTCTCGTATTGTGTCTCGTGTCGTGTGTGTTGTGTGTCTCGCGTGCACATGGTAGGTACCGGGCGGGCAGGTTCCCCGCGGAGGTGACTGCGACGTTACCGTCGTTGAGCGCCCCATGCCGTGCCACCCAATCTGTCGGCCATGCCACAATGTGTGCTGTGAGTGACGTGACTGCATCTCTCTTTGTGTGCGTGCGGCGTGCGACGGAGATGTGTGGTTGTGTGTGGTTGTGTGTGGTGAGGGGAGAGAGAGAGAGAGAGAGATCGGGTCAGGTGTCTGCACCATTGCTTTCGGCCTGGATCGCGGGTCCGCCCTTGCGCGATATGGCGCCAGCCACGCCGCCTGCAGTTCGTGCGTTAGTGCATCAGTGAGCGGACGTCAAGCCCAGCGAGTGGGCTGGTGAAGCTGGAGGCGTACCGCCGTGCCGGAGGTGACGATTGGCCGCGTTGACGATCACGTCCGAGTCTTCGCTGGTGATGTCCCCGTGCCTGGGCACCACGCACCCACAAGCACTTGTTAGAATTTCTATTTTTATAATTAATATTTCTATTATTTTTGAGTTATTATTATTTATTATTCGTTTCTTCTTATTATGAACCAGCCTGCCTGGTGCGGGGTAGTCGGTACCGCACAGAAATGGTGTGACCCGTGGGCAGGGTGGCCTGGGCGATGGTTGACACCGGCGAAGTAGCGAACGCGGCCACACCTGCCAGCAGCGTCATCCTGAACCACACACGAATTAATCAAAGGCTGCGCTGGGGCAAGATTGATCAATTCTTCATCCAAGGTGGAGACACACTGCACGAGGAGAAGCCCAACTGCCAACCTGACAGGATTGCTCACGAGGTGGGTCATTCTCGCACCGCCCCCAGCCGCTGCCGCCCTGTTGGACGCTCCCCAGGTTGCTCGCCTCATCTTTGTTTTTCTTTTCCTCTGATCAGAGTGGTTGCAGCTAAACTTGAACCAGACGCTTGCACGAATGTAGGACTCTTGTTGGGTGCTGCCCAAGCCTGCTGTAGTGCAGAGAAGCCAACACACGTGTTGCCCACTTGAGCTCTGTTTTATGGTTGGTGCTCTCCTCCAAGCTTTGTCAGCTGCCAATCTCGGCTTTGGCCACTCCGACAAAAGGCGCCTGGAGTCGGAGCCGATGCTTAGAGTTCTGCTCTCCTTTATATATATACATGCCCGCAGCCCCCGGCCTCTCCAACCATCACTACCACCAACAACCCATAAACACCCAACACCCTCTGGCCATCCTACCCACAACAAACTCATCAGCTCATGGCCAGGATTCCCTTGACTCTCGCTGTGTTGTGCGTCCTGGTGGCACTTGCTGCTGGTCAGTCCCATCGCCCATGCCAACTGCGCGACCCTTCGGCTTGTCCCCAAGGCGAGTACTGCGCCCTCGCGTTCGGCCAATGCGGCGACGTACCACATCACCCCCCCCCCTAATCACTTCATGAACCACTTCTTCCTTCCTCGTCAAAGAGTTCGTCAACAAGAGTTCATCAACTCTGTTCTGGGGCGGTGCAGTTGAGCGGAACGTGCGAGGACGTGCCCACGCAGTGCGGAGAGATCTACGTGCCCGTGTGCGGCTGCGATGGCCGCAACTACGGCAACCACTGCAAGGCCAGGCAGCACGCCGTCTCAGTCCGCTCGCTGGGCGAGTGCCCCAGCGGCCCTCAGGAGCCCTGGTACCCTCTTCTGCGGATGCTTCTGCATCTTCAGCGTTTCTTTGTTACCATCCTCACCAACGTTGCAGCCCTGAGCTGAGGGAGCTGTGCGCTCAGCTGGAGGAACGCGTCGACCTCTACGCCAGCGAGCTCTACGCGAACGACGGGCTGGGCGCCCCTCTGGACTACGCCCGGGTGAACTGGACCACTGTTGAGCAGTACATCGCCACCAACAACTTCCGCGTAGAGGACTACAGCCTCGTACCGTCCTCTTCTTCTTCATTTCCCTCTTCTTCGCCTTCACCGCCATACCACAGCCTGCTGACGATGATCGGCACTGATGAATGTTGTAATGATGCAGTTCTCGTCCGCTGGCGTCTACTCCAACATCAGGACCTACTGGCGCGCGCTCAACACGGCCAACAGCCTGTTCCCGCTGGTCGAGGCAAGTGTAGACTGGACGACGTGCGACCCGTTCGCCCGGCGCGTGGTGTCGCAGCACCGCGAGGTCTACGGCCGCGCCCGCTGGGGCGGACCCATCGAGAAGGAGACCAGCACCTCGCTCTACGTGTTCGAGTTCGAGCCCAACGGGCTGCGGCTCACCAAGCACGCCTTCTGGACATCGGCCAACCTCGCAGACCTCGTCGGCGACGACAGGGCCCAACGCTAGTCTCCCACAGAGCGCCACTTGGGCGATGTAATCGTCAGTTCTCCGTTAAAAGCTATGGCGGTGAGTCACGACAGAACGGGGCGGGAAGGTGTGGCTAGAGGGGATATGCTGAGGGGAAGGCGCAGCGGGGCTTCATTCGAATCGCCTGAAGGAGGCAAGGTCATTGAGCACGCTCTGGAGCTCCTCGTCGTCGAATCGCTTGGCCAGCGACGGGATGAGTGACTTGGCCTCCTCGGCAGTCTCCGGGCACAGGTTGCTGAGCGCGGCGATCTCGAACTCCTCCAGCTCCTTCTCCGTGAGCAGGCTGGTGGTGGAGACGAGTCAGACAACGGCACCGACCTACCACGCGCACAGGTGGGGAAGGGGCGGGCGGGTACCTGCGCACTTCCTTCACGGCAGCCTTGGTCTTGTAGCGGCTAAACCGCTGCACGTACGACAAGGTCTTGAGGAACACACTGCAGAAGGTGTGTGGTGTGAGCAGCCACACGGTGGCGGAAGGGAAAAAAGACAGCAGGCAGACGTACTTGGAGAGCTCGGCCTCTCCCTCCTCTTGCACTGCAGCCGTCTGCTGTCGATGCTCCAAAAGAATGGCGACCTCCGAGTTGAGCAAGCAGTTTGCATTTTGGAAATCTAGGAGGGGGGGAGCAAGCAATTTAGATCCTTGCCTCACGCGAAGAACATTCATAATTATTCTTGGTACGCACCAAGTCCCAGCCTCAAGAGCGACGCATCTTCTTCCTCCTGTTGTGCGGCCATTCTGCTCCTATCTTTGAACAAACGACAACGAAACGGCTCTCGCTAAATTTTTGAAACGCATTTCGGAAACGAGCTTGTTGAGGAATTCCAGGAACATCGAAGTATTGGGCTCTTGGGTTTTCGCACGTGCGGCCACACACAGCATTCGAGATCACAAAGTGTCACCAATGTGGAGGAGAGCACACAATGCGCCCTTGGCCCCGGGCCTGTGCGGCGCAAGGTCGGGCACCACGACATTCCCTTCTCTTCACACCTACAACCGGTTCCCGCTACGCGCACGACACTCGAGCCAATCGCTCAAGATTTCGCTCTCACCTGCAACCATCGAACCCATTTCCACACACCCACGGCACCACCTCTCCTCTTCCACACTCCATGTGCCCTCAATCACCTCCACATCGACAGCTGCAGCAAAATCACGTCTTCAATCGACCTCAATTCGGTCATCGCTCAGCCCGCGCTGGCCAAGTGCGGCGAGGCTCGTGCCAACGCTACGTAGTGGCCCATCCCGTTTCTTGACTGCTTCGCAATTGAGTCGAGGTGGATCGACTGGGTCATGCCGTCTCTACACCGAGCAACTTCAGAATCGAACCGAGAAGATTGAACGAATCGTGGGCGAGCAGCAACCCAAGCGCCGATTCAAACTCACCACAGATCTCAAGTACGTTCTCAGCTTTTCATCTTCTATCGCTGCACTCCTGTCTGCTCAACTCGACGTTCATTTCGTGGTTGGCTGACCCTTTCTACTTCTATGTGCTGCACGTGGTCTCTGTGCACCCTTGCAGGATTGCACTCTTCAGCTACTTCGTCATGGGAACGTATCCTTTTTGACCCCTGCTAGTAGTACTGCCCCTTCGCAGCCGCACTTGCTCTCCTCCTTCTCTTTCGCTTTCTTCTTCTTCTTTTGCTGCTGCTTGCGCTGTGCATTGTTGTTGGTTGGTGGCGGTGATGGTGGTGATGGTGATGGTGGACACGTCCTTGACTCGATGCCCTACAAAAAGTACGACGTGGCTTCTTGTGGGAACCACCACGCTCGTCTCCGTCATCCTGTGGGCCGCCAACACGCTTCAGTTCCAGGGTGCGCCTTGCTATCGCGCTCTTTGTCAATCGCGATGCCCACTAACAGTATCTGGCGTACTTCTTCTTCATTCTTCTTCTTTGTCGTTGGCTTGGTTGTGTTTGTACACCAGGCTACATTGCCAAGACCCTGTCCGACACACTGACACGCGAGACCGGCATCCAGATCACGTTCGAGTCGGCCATCGTGCCTCGATGGAAGAACGGTACCGGCGCCTACGCCGTGAGCGCGTCGATTGTCCATGCGCCAAACAACTGCCACAAAACTGACCGCCAGGTATCCTCCGGCGTGCGCAGGTCACATTCGATTGAACAAGGTGCGCGTGGTGCGCGAAGAGGAGGAGGCGCTGCGGAAGAACTACGCTAGCATGGACCTCACGATCCAGCAGATCGACGTCAAGCTTTCTTTGTGGTGGTGCGTGGTGCTTGATACGAGTCACGCATCGCTCGCGAAGCTGACTTGCCCGTTTTATTTTACATTTATTTTATTTTATTTTCCGTGTGCTCTCGGTCCGCAGGTTCTTGGAGGGCAACGGTCTGCTCAAGGAGATGATCCTCAAGGGGGTGCGAGGGCATGTCGACAGGTAACATATCGTTTCCGCCGAATTCTTTGTTCGGTGGAAGATCACTCCTGGCGAGCCACACCGCGCTCTTACACACGGACCAATCTCCACCACCCCTTCGTGGGAGCCAGGCGACGACTTGTGTGGACGGTGGAGCCGGCGGGCGAGCAAGCAGCGGAGGCGAAGAAGAAGGAGGGTAGCGAGGACGAGGACACGATGACCAACGAGACAGTGAAGCCTCACTCGCCCAACGAGGCGTTCGTGCCGCAGAGCGTCGGCGCTTTCTGCTTCTCCAAACTCACGATCTCCGACTTGTACATCACGTACGCTCGCCCTTCGTGAATTCATTGACACGCGCACACGCGCGCCACACACACACGACAAACAGTGGAGTAGTTAGTATCACACCCACCTCGCATCCACTAACACACTCCACTCTGGAACAGTCTCTACAATGCCAATCCCAAGCGACCTCTGCCCGTGTCCATCTATTCGTACAAGAGGTACGGTCCCCGCTCCAAGGCTTTTTCTCGAGCCTTTCCGCCTGCACGCGGCCTGTCAACTCACCACCGCGTTCCCTCTTCCCCGCCCCAGTGCCCACCTTGTCCGAAGCACCTGGTACGTATTTTATTTATCGTTTGACTTTTATTTATCTTTACTTCTTTATTGTTATTTATTTGCTGTTATTTATGTGTGGGTTGTGGTTAATCGCAACGCGTTGGGTAGGCTGCTGCACGACCTGCTGTACGCTGAGTACGTGCATGGGAGCTTCGACGACTGTCTCTTCACGCTCAACAAGCCGCACCTGCACAACCACCCGTATCGACGGCTGATGATCAATGAGGACATGGACGAAGACCGCGACGCCGATGAGAAGTGCGTGACAGATCATCTTCCTGTGTTCCGCAACAGTTCTTATACTTGTGGCCCGGTTTGTTTCCGTCGCTGACTGTTCTCCCCCTCGTCCTGTCGAACGGCATCAGGTGGAAGTTTGTGGAGTGCAAACTGCAGGGCCTCAACATCGACCACCTGGCGGAAAACACGACGGGACCCCTCAACTGGATCACATCAGGTGCGTCACCAAACCAACTAGAAAGGTCTTACATACGCTGACCCCAGTGCTGTGTGTCGTGTGTCGTGTCGTGTGTCGTGTGTGCTATGACACAGGATTCATCGATATCAATGTACACCTTTTGCTGCCGCCCTTCGCCAACACACTGCCGCCCGCGCCCAATCCAAGCAAGTACGTGCCGCTGCTCTGTCTCACCGGTCTAAACCTCATGAGCCGACGCTGACGTCGGCTCTTGTTTACCGGGAGCAGCCCCAACGCCAGGGCCGAGCCGCGATTGCTGAGCCAGCTGCCCGGCATCAACATGGACTTCAAGCTCGTCCTCACCAACCTCTCCGCCTCCGTGCCCCTGTCCACTCCTCACATGTCCTGTACGCCCTCCCCCTCTGCATACCGCCCCTCCGCGCCGAGCTCGGTTTTTTACCCGCGTGTGTGTGATTCTGCGCAGACGTCAACTCGGCGCTGATCCAGCCCATCGTGCTCTATCTCAACACCAACTACACCGAGCTTCCCCTCACCTTCCGAAGCGTCATCCCCCAGGTGCTGCTCCTTCTCCCATGCGCGCTATGGATCATCGCTGACGATTGCGTGTGACTCACAACCAATACACCGCGCGTGATTGTGTGCGACACGACACGACACGTACAGGGCCGTTTCTGGAATGCGTGGTATCCGGGCGATTGCGGGTTCTGGGACGCGCTCTCGGAAGGTGCGGGCGCGGCCATCGAGAAGGCCGTCTCCGAACAGACGACCACCCCCAATATTTGGAAGCTCATCGGCCTCCTCAACGACGGCGTGCGCCGCGGCCTCCTCGTACGCTCCTCGCCCACTCCTCATCTTCTTTTGTCATCATCTAACGAGCTCGTGATGGTGTGCGATGATGGTGTGGTGCAGTACTACTGGCGCTTCCACGTCCTTGTCTTCCTGGGCTTCAGCCCCGAATAAAGAGGCAACACGCGCGGCAACACAATACCGCGCGTGCGGGCAACACACAGAGAACACACGGAGAGATTGCCTCTCTCGGGGGTATTGCGCAGTGGCTCCAATTTATTGCGTCATCGTTGGTTGGCGCCATTGCGGGTATCGACCGCCAATCACAGTTTTGTTGGTCAAATAACGAAACACGAAAACACGATAAAATGTGTTATAATGTCGACAATTGTCAAAAGTGTGTCGACGCGTTCCCGACCACCAAACACGCACAGGCGTCTGATTGTCTGAACCTTCCACTGCTTGTGTTGCATCGACATAGATCTAGAGAGGGTGCGAGCGGCAGAGCGGGGCGAAGGCGGATCAATTTGGACACCAGGCCCACACATTGCAAGCACCCAGAAAGTTTAGATAAGGGAAACCATCTAATCTCGCGCGCATCACTCAGTATCTCCAAGGCAGAGGATAGGCCTTCGCCCAGACTCGCGTGGGCCTACCCCTCTCGCTACACATCAGCTTCGCCTCCTTCTCCACTCAATCTGCGCAATCATCAACCTCTCCTGGAAAAGCGCAAATTTGGTCAATCGATTGCATCCGCGCCCCTTGTGGATACCTGCTTGCCACTTCGGGTTTATTGGCTATAGAGGTACAATCACTCCCATTCCCTTCTCAATCCATGCATTGCCATCTCCAGCTTTTTCTGATTCAATTCCGATTAATGGAAATGGGCTTTCGGTCTTTTTTGGGGTGATGCCGTCACTCGCAGATTGCAAGTGGCAGCAGTATGATGCGTGGCGCTACGTTTAGGCCATCGTCAGCTGAGGAAGCTCACATGTGGGCCACCTACAACGGCCGCTCCTACTCGCAGCAGGGGCGTGAATCCGAACAGACATCATCAAACGTTGGCATCGACGGCCTTGCTCCTCATGATGACGCCGTGTATAACAAGGTGCGTGCATCCTCCCGGGTCATCCCCCAATCTTCGTTTCTCACCCGTGCTCACCTCATCCGTTCCCTTTCTAGCCAACACCAAAGATCCACTCCCCCATTGGCATCCCCGAGAGGGAAGATAAGGAGAGCCCACCGCCTCACATCGACACCCTCTTCCGGTACCCCCCAAATCTAATCTCAAAAGCAAGCCTGTTGCTCCCATTCATGAATGCCATTAATCTTGGGTGGCTCTCTCCCACCCACCACAGATCCTCGTTTCAATCGGATTTCAACTTGCTGGCGAGCCCCTTCAAGACTTCATCTCTGTTCAGCCAGTTCTCTTTCTCCTCCGACTCCTCCTCTGCCACCTCCTCTCTCTCGCCGCCCCTGCCCGGCTCGCCCCTCCAGCAGCAGCAGCAGAGCCAGCTCGCGAGGGAGGCCGAGGACGACGACGAAGAGATCGACATGTCCTCCATGTCCGACCTCGGCCTCATCGACGAGTCGATGGCCATGCTCACCACCTCTTCCTCCTCCTCTGCCGCCGCCATCAACAACGGCGCCTCGTACGGCAGCGTCGCTGGCTCGAACCGGCACAACGGCCTGACCGGTGGCACGACGTCGCCCACCAACATGGCGCCATCGCCGACGTCGGCTGCGGCGTCGCAGGCCGGGGCTGGCCTCCAGAGCCCGCCGGCGCTGTCCACGCTCGGCGATCTGCGGGGCGGTGGCGAGCACCCCTACGGCGAGCACCCCTCGCGCACCCTCTTCGTCCGCAACATTCACAGTTCGGTCGACGACGAGGAGCTTCGCACTCTGTTCTCTGTACGTTCTCGCCCGTTCACGCCACACAGTCGTCGTTGTCGTCTTCTTCTTCGTCTTCTTCTGACAGTGATGTGTGCGCACGCGTGCACGCACAGAACTGTGGCACGGACCTGAGCCTGCAGATCCGCAGCATGTACACGCAGTGCAAGCACCGGGGATTCGTGATGATCTCCTACTTCGACATCCGCGACGCCAAGACCGCCATGCAGAACCTCCAGAACAAGGTCGTGCGAGGCCGGAAGCTCGACATCCACTACTCGATCCCCAAGGTCAGTACTCGCAACCACCACCGCCACCAAAATAGTAGAATTATGTGAATGTGGTTCATTTTTCGCTGACACGTGTGTTGTGTGTTGTACGTCATCGCGCCACCTGCAGGACAACCCGTCGGAGAAGGACCAGAACCAGGGCACGCTGGTGGTGTTCAATCTCGACCCGTCGACGACGGACGAGGAGCTGATGGAGATCTTTGGCCAGTACGGCGAGATCAAGGAGATCAGGGCCACGCCCAACAAGAAGCATCACAAGTTCATCGAGTTCTTTGACGTGAGGCACGCCGAAAAGGCCATGAAGTGCCTCAACAAGACCGAGATCAAGGGCAAGAAGATCAAAATCGAGCCCTCCCGTCCCGGCGGTACTCAATTCCTTCCAACCGTCATCGTTCATGCCACCCACCACCCACCACCCACCACCCACCACCCACCACCCACCACCCCACCACCCTCACCATCCTCACCACCCTCACCACCCCTCACCACCC